CCCCCCCCCCCCCCAATCCCAGTGAAGGAAACGAAAAAAAAAAGAAAAGAAAAGAAAAGAAAACCAAGTCAAATCAAACACACAAACATAACAAATAAAACAGCCTGAGACACATTAAGTCAGCTTCAGACTGTATTCCTCCTTTACTCTACATAATATAACAACCTTAGCTGCATCGTGAACATCGGAGGGTGGATTCCGCTATATATATATATAATGTAGGTTAGATTGTATAATTTTCAAAAGATACGTTAGAAATGAAAAGCCGCCCAAAAAGAAAAAAAAAATCCAAAAAAATTAAGAATAATAATTTTTTTTAAATACCCCGAAACGTTACGAAGGGACTCTTGCGTCTTTAATTCACCGGAAACAGCCGCACTTCAGAGCAATTATTCCCCTTCTTCACGCCCTAGCGCTTCTGTGGACGCGGGGCGCCCAATTAAAGTACACCATCGTTCATAGAGAAAGCAGATCCGTGGATCTGAACGATACGCAATAGGAAGGAATTTCTATATACAGAGAGCCGCGCACGAGCAAAAAGGCCTTTCATAAGGATACAGATCAACACCCCATTAATGAACAGAATGCAAGGCGTCAGCAACTGAGCTTATGAAAGTTTTATTCGCTGACATGCCCATCTTTCAACCATTCACAAGTTAGGTGCACATTCATGTAAACGCCATTTACATGTCGTGATTTTAAATCCACTCATATTTTTTCTATTCTAGCCTTCAATGAATTCCTTACAGCTTTTTTAAAAAAAATGGCTTTACTTCATAGCTTGATTTTTCCGCGTTCTGGGTTTCTTGCTGTTTCTGTTCTCTCGCTCTCTCTCTCTTCCTAGTCTATTGATAAAGAAACTGATACAGTTTTTATCGTTTGACATGTGTCAAATATGTACAAATGCTATATTAGGATCTGGGTTTTTTTTTCTATACTTTTCAACACGTGATGCTCATATACGACCTTTTCTTATTTCCCAATTTTATTTATTTCAAAGGAGAAACTTGTATATGCATAATCTGTCTGTCTGTCTGTCTGTCTGTCTGTCTGTCTGTCTGTCTGTCTGTCTGTCT